TCTGAGAGCAGAACGTACAGCACCTTACTGTTCTGGGCCTCGCCAAAGCTTGTGCTCTCAGTCCCAGATTTGCAGACACCGAGGCTCACCCCAGCTTTAGGAAGATGGCTGTAGAAGTCCTAGTCATGGGGGGGTTCGAGTCAGAGCAGGGAGGGAGCTCACCCACTGATGAGATGAGAGAATTGCTGCATCAGCCACTGCTCCCCCAGACCAGTTATGTAGGGGATAGCTGCAGGGAGTGAAACTCCCACAGGACAAGATATTTTATAAAGAACCCAGTCAAACTCTTTGTGGCAGAAGTGAGGTGGCTCGGTAATAATTAATGAACAGTGTATGTTAACCTGGTTATTGGGATGTTTACTGGAGGGCTATATCGGGTTCAAACACCAGTGTTGTTGGGAAACAAGCAGGACGACAGAACAAAGGCTCAAGACAAAACACCTCTCAGCACACACTTGTGGTTGTTACAGGACAATGGCAGAGTCATTGACCATGAAGAGACTGGCTCAACCTGCCAAGGAGCCCACCAAACTGATTTTGGACCGCAGGGCCTAAATGCCTGGGAACTGAAAAGACAAAGGAACTCTCACAGAATAGCAGTGACTCTCTCACAGGATGGTAGGGCTCTAGGTAAGATAGAGATGCATGTATGTAGACTACATTGTTTTAAAATCCTTTTCTCTAAATGTTTTATTCCTACTGTTCAGATTAAACAATACTTTGGTCTGGTTTGCAGACCCTCTGGTTAGTCAAGTCACCAGAGATCAGAGACCCCTGCAGGGCAGAAATGCAGGGGCTGAGCCCAGTCGGACGTGCTGGATAAGCACAGTCAATAGGCAGAGTGCTGTAGCCCGGGGCCCGGTCTGAGTGTGGGAGATTCATGGGATTCCAGGCCAGGAGAAGAAGGCCCAAAGTCCTGAGACCTGAGGGGTTGAACTCAGAATCCATGAAGGGGACAGAGGTTAAGTCCAGAACACGTCTCAGCAGAGATGGGCCCTTGACCGCATCGGTAGGAGGAACGGGCAGTTCCAGCCCTCAGAATCTTCAGGGCTCTTGGCAGCTGGATGGGTCACCTGTCACTACCCTGGTGACCAGACCACTTCAGCTCAGGATGGCAGATCAAACCCTGCTTAGGGAGGGGATGTCAAAGCTGTTCTTACCAGAGGGGCTGAGCAACTGAAATTCTCACAGCTGCTCAACAGACCACAGATCCCTAATGCAGTCACAGGGCAGAAACCAAACTCAGGGCACCTAAAAGGAAGTCTGTAGTCTCTTCCTGCCCAGGTCCCAGGGATGCTCAGCCTAGCTTTAAACTGTACCCACAGTGGGCAAACTCCTGGGTACCCCACTCCATTGCAGGTAATGTATATAGCAGGCAGAGATGCTAACAGACAAGTACAGAGTGGATACATCACAAACAATGCAGCAGCTTAAAAAGACACTGTGGAGACACAGGCATGCACACTGAAATACACAAAGATCCACAGACAATAGCCACCAGGTACACATGCACTAACAGGGATGTATTCCCTTAACACCACATGTTCCTACATTAAAGGCAGGCTGCATGGACACAATTATACACACAAATTTCTCATTCGCATATGCACGATCACTAAATAATACGCATATAGATTATATACAGGAAACACAAATAATGACACTTATGCAGCAAGCAGAGGAGATGAGCGCATGAATGCATGCATGCATGCAATGTATTATAAACTGAAGTTCTTTGTCTACAAAGAACACAGATATACCAACATACAACAGAGGGGCAATGATATATGCACACACCACACACCCCCATCATAGTCATACAGAGTACAATACATCTGGTATATGTACGCATCTAGCTATGCATGACGAGTAGATTCATAGACTTTAAGGTCAGAAGGGATCATCATGATCTAGTCTGACCTCCTGCACATTGCAGGCCACAGAACCTCACCCACTCCTGTAATGGACCCCTAACCTCTGGCTGAGTTACTGAAGTCCTCAAACTGGGATTTAAAGAAGAATTCATGCTGGGTTAGAGAGAACTCAAGTTCCAGAGAATTCATGCTGGGTTACAGGATTCAAGTTACAGAGAATCCACCATTTACACTAGTTTAAACCAGCAAACGACCCATGTCTCATGCTGCAAAGGAAGACGAAACCCCCCCAGGGTCTCTGCTGATCTGACCCGGGGGGAAATTCCTCCCCAACCCCAGGAACACACACAGGTCAGTCCTGTAGCCACTAGACACATGCATGTCTGTATGAAATATACACATGCACACTGTGAGATGGGGAAACAATCACATATGGGACACTCCCAGGCCAGAGCTGAACAAGCCCTTTTACTTACTAATCAGACGTCCGGCGCAGCGTCTAGTGACAAAACTCAGCCTCAGAGCAGCTTTTGCTATCACAAGCAATTTGCTCCAGTTGGCTCAGCCTCTCCGGTGCAGTGCCATCTGAACCAGTCGCTCGCCTCCAAGTTCCCGTCTCAGTGCAGAAGGTGGATTCAGCAAACCACACACAAACTTCTGTTATCTCCAGGGGCAACCAGGAGTTGACTGGGGACTCATCACCCCAATAATTTTAAGCAGCTTCTAGGACTGAACTAATTTAGGATTTTAACTCCAATACTGATTTGAAAAGAAACAGCTCTGTCCCTGTTCCAAGGTGCTGCCTTTCGTCTGGGCTCAGGAGCTCGGCTAGTAGACCATGGGGCAAGGCTGTAGCTTATAGCCAAGAAATGAAGTAAACTTTCAGATGAAAGGGGATGGGGCAGCCGGTGCCCTCAACAGTAGTGAAAGAGTCTCCGAGCTGGTCTCTCTCTCCCCACTGCTATAGCATGCGCATCCCCTACATGGCCCCAAAGCACCAGGTGTACTTCACAGGCGTTAATCACAGATGGCTTTGTGTCTGGGGAATGAAAGGGGAGGAGTGATAAAAGCTCTTCCCCCCCCCTCCTTCTGATACCACTGGGCTGGGACTGCTCTGCTTCCCAACAAATTCCCACTCGCCCTCCATTTGGGTCTGGCTGAGTCCCCACCTGCCTGGAAAGAATACAGGGGTATCCATTTCTTCCTTTCCCTTGCCCTCCCATTATGGGAGGCAGGCATTTCACAAAGCATTCAAGAAATAGTGTGGTGGGACAGAATAGCCATCCGTCACACCTCCCTAGCAATTCTGGTCTGAGGATCTCCAAGCACTTCACAAACCTTCATGAATTAACGCGCCCAGCTGCTCTGTGCCTCACAAGGATGTTAAGTGACTCACCCAGTAGTTCCGAGACCCGAAGAAGAGCTCTGTGTAAGCTCAAAAGCTTGTCTCTCTCCCCAACAGAAGTTGGTCCAATGAAATATGACCTCCCTCACCTTGTCACACTGAGCCACTGGCATTCAGAGACTGGGATGATGAGGGCTACAGAATAAACTGGGAGAGTCAGGACTAGAACCCAAGTCCGCACAGCGCCTCCTCCTGGCTTTAATCTATATGGCATGGGATACCGCAATCAGCCATAACACTAATATTTTTATTTCCATTGTGTCCATGCCATGCCACGGCTGTCACTCGGCCTGAAAACAGCAGGAAAAGGCCAATATTTTAATAGCATATGCCTCCATCACCACTTTGGACCAGCACCTACCCAGCAGTCAGAGAGCAGGACGTAAAATCTGAAACACAAGATTACCAGGGAAGCGAACAGGGTCGGTGTGGAGATCATCAGGAGGGCAGAATTACGTGGGAGACATTTTTCATGAGGCCATCTTTTCAGGGGGTATTAAAGCTTTTCAAAGGCCATTGTAATGAGAGACAGTGGGGGCGGGAGGGAATACTCCATTTGCAACTCAGAGCATCTACAGCCCTGAGGTTTATACAAAAGGGGTATTGTATCCGATCCCCAATTATGTTAAAACAGCTGTAAGGTGTAGTGGCTAATTACTTGGCTAGATCAGTTGGTTACCACCTCCTACAGAAGTCTCATAATATTTGGTGTTTCTCTAAAAGTCCTAGGCTCTGGTGTTGTGTGATTACATGAAAAGTCTCAGCCTACACTGAAAACAAAAAAGTTTCTAGCCCTTATGGTTGCAGAGCAAACGTTGAAAATGTGAATCCTAAAGGCTGAAAACCCAAAAGGCAAATGAAAAGAATCCAAAGTGTACTATAATTATTCTCAAATCTTATGATTTTGGGGGCCTCATTAATGGTTTCTGCATGTCTCAAGTGCTAGATGGCAAGAGTGCTAAATTTATGCCTTTGCCCATCACGCCTGCCTCAAGCTGGCCCCGGCTGGCAGTTCCATCAACAATTGCCTCAGTGCCAATCCCACTATCCCACAAAGCAGAGCTGGGCTCAGGGGTTTGAATGGGGCGAGCACCAGCTAACCATGCTTAACATCTAAATTTACCTGGCACCGGAGAAGAGCTTGGGCAGCTGAGACCTGCCCCTCCACCCAACTCATTTCATGAGTGAAGGAACACAGCGCTGCAACAGAAACATGCTAGCAGTTAAGCCCCCATTTTTGCCACCCCTTGCTCTTAGATTGCCCTGGTTTTTAGTACCCTGTGGCGCAGGAGTCTTGCATATTAACAGCGAAGATGCCCTTGGGACCACAAAGGAGAAATCTGATGCTCCTCCCCTTTATGCCAGCACGGTGAAGGAGAGAGACAAGGAGATGCAGACCCCAGACCAAGCCCACAGACACCTAGCAGAGCTCCATGGGAACTCCAGGGGCCTGTTTGTTTCCATTCCTGAGAGTCGTGGCCAAGCAACTGCCCTGAGCACCTCTGTCACACAACCCGCTTCAAATTTCCCCTTACCAGCCTCCCCAGGGAAGCATCATTACAGACTGGGAAACTGAGGCACAGGGGTTAAGTGACTCACCTGAGGCCACTGTGGGAATTGTGCTGCCAACTTCCCGAAAACCAGGGACAGCCTCTTTTTGCCTCAGAAAAGCTGCCTCCATTCAAGGACTCAGGAGCTTATCCTGGCCAGTGGAAGCTTACCAGATGCCCATGGTTCCCTGGCAAATCATTATAGAAAAAGGTCAGCAAGAGCAGCAGAACAGGACTTACCTTAACAGACCCAACAGTCGCTTATCCAGTCTGGTTTCCTGTCTCTGATGGAAAGGATGCCCCAAGGAGAAGGGGGCTGCTCCTCACCTGGAATGCCTTTGCTTGCACTGACCAGAGGATGTTTGCATTCTGATGTCAGCCCTGTTCCGCAGCCTGACAGGAATCAGGTGTTGTTCCCAGTGTGCATAGAATTCTTCTTTGAGCCAAACTAGTCTAACATGCATTTTGTTAACTTGAACTGGAGCAGCAAAACAAAGAAAACAAATGCCTCATTTTCCAGCTTTGTGGGTGATAGAACTAAAAGTGAAGATTATAATGCCAGACATGGATGGCCTTAAACCATTTGCCTCAGGAATCTGCCAAGAACTTTGCTGAAAAATATGTTCCTCACCTTAGCAATGGAGCTAAGACTTATCACACATCTGCCCACCTTTATTCGAATGAAGCTCCGGCTGATCTGATGGCTCAGGCATTGTCAGTTTCATCCAGAACCATTTACAAATTTGGAACCTAATCCTGTAAACCAGGGTAGGCAAACTTTTTGGCCTGAGGGCCACATAGGGGTTCCGAAACTGTATGGAGGGCTGGGTAGGGAAGGCTGTGCCTCCCCAAAAATCCTGGCCTCTGCCCCCTCCCACTTCGCACCCCCTGACTGCTCATAACTCCCTACCCATCCAACCCCCACCTGCTCCTTGTCCCCTGAGCACCCCCTCCCATGACTCCCCCCACCCCTAACCATCCCCCTGGGACCTCACCCTGTATCCAAACCCCCCTGCTCCCTGATTGCCCCGACCCCTATCCACACCCCCACCTCTTGACAGGCCCCTCGGGACTCCCCCACCTATCCAAACCCCCTTGTTCCCCATCCCCGACCACCACCCCGAGAACCTCTGCCCCCCCATGACCCCCTGCCCCTTATCCAACCCCTCTCCCCACCCCCACCCCCCGCTCCCTTACCATGCCACTCAGAGCAGCAGGACTGGCCACCATGCCTCCCACCGGAGCCAGCCACGCCACCACGCTGCCCGGCAGGAGCTCGTAGCCCTGCCTCCCAGAGCTCTGGCAGCATGGCGAGCCGAGGCTGTGGGGGAGGGAAGACAGCAGGGGAGGGGCCAGGGGCTAGCCTCCCTGGCTGGAAGCTCAAGGGCCGGGCAGAATGGTCCCGCAGACCATAGTTTGCCCACCTCTGCTGTAAACCCTTAATCAATCCCATTGAAGAGAATGGGACTATTTGCATGACTATGGACCACTTTTGTGGCTGGTAAGAGTTTCAGGAGTCTGTTCCTATAAAGGAAGTTGAATCCCTCATTGAAATGCAATGTTTGGGTACAATACCATAAAGCAGTTTAGGATACAGTTCTACTTAAAATTTGTCTTTTAATAAGTCATACACATCCTCACCCAACTCCCAAATAAACAGACTGAATACTACATATTTGGGGGGGAGTAATTAAGCATGTTGATGTTTGTATATACAAAGGGGAGTGTCAGAGGGGACAGCGTGGGGAGGATTCACATGGAGGGTCATGTGGGGATGTCACATGCCCCCACCCCTTATGTCCCTCCCATGAGTGCAGTACCAGCAAGAAATGATTTCTACTTGCACCACTGGGTGAGTGGGTTCAGAGGCCACCTCTCAGGGTCAGGATGCAGGTGGCCAGGTCCAGTGGCTAGAGCAGGAGTCAAACCAAGAGTCAGAGCTAGAGAGCAGGGGCAAGGGTCAGAAACAGGGCAGGACCCAGGGAGTCACACAGGCAGGGTCCAACATAGCAGCCAGAGAGAGCCTAATTGTGCAGAGAGTGACCAGATAGCAAGTGTGAAAAATCGGGACACTTTTTTCGGGGGGGGCAATAGTTGCATATATAAAAGACAAAGCCTCTAATAGCAGGATGTCTGGTCACGCTAGTTATGCGGACACTTCCCTGTACCTCTCTTCAGGTTTAAATAGGAAGCCCTGGCCAATCAGTGGTCCCTGTGTTCCTCCAGTCAGGGCCCTGGCGAAGCGTCCCTGAGGTAGCTTCAGGTTTCATGGCCTCTCTGCTCCAATACTTAGTAGCAAGCTACTGGGTGGGAGCAGGGAAGCACTAGTCACCTGGGAATCTTGCAGTCGCAGGGTTCGGAGTTGTGGGGGGTTATAGCACCATTAGCCAAGAGGCTGCTAGCACATGCCAATGCTTTTGTTTAAAAATGCATTTTATTGATTGTATAAATCTGGAAATATCACACACACATATGATCAGCAGGACATTTGCCTTATACAAAATAAACCCATATTTCACCTCTGGTGGCTACTCACCAATTGCCCTCTGTGTAGACACAACAGGCCTGATCCTGCAAGTTGCTGAGCGACTCCTGCTCCAAATGATTTCAAGGAGGGTGAGGGCACTGGATGCCCCACAGGATCAGTCTCTAGCCTGGATTGGAAAGCACAGCTTCCTACCGCAAACATCTCTTCTCAGGGGCAGGGGCCACCACAAGAGCTGGCAAAATCGTAGCAGATTCTTTTTTGACATTACATGGGACTGGAGTGATACAGTGAGAAGAGCAGGCCCATCTGATCCCGTTGGAATGGGTGGGGCCCTTCCCAAAAAGGAATGAGAGAAGCTGGCGTGACAGCCCTGCAGACTAAAATCCAATCACCCCAGAATAACCCAGGCAGAAGCACTACAAGATCCCTGCCATACTCCCTCATGCCTGTTCCTTAACCTTGAGATGAAGGAAGCACCTGTAGGCAGTTAGCCATCCCACCCCAGGCACTCACCATCATTTCATGATGAGACAGCTGAACAATCAGCAGATTTCAGCTTCCGCTGTAATAAATCTTGATGTTCTCCTCAGCTCAGTCCCGAAGCACAGTTTGCACCCACAATTATTTATGGGTCGATTATTTAGGTGCCCAAGTATCTGATTTATAGGCCTGGTTAGTTGGTACAATGCAAGTCTATGTGGCAGTTTAAATGACATCTAAAATTACCTAAATTGCATCTGTGTTTATGCAAATTAAATAAATTCCATTATTTATAGATGGAATAAGAGAAGCCTGCTTACAACAGGGCTAAAAATCTGGCCCAAACTCTGGGTGTATGTAATGATGCATACATCAGAACTAACTGGAAGTGTCCCCATTACAGCCATGAATGGCTGTGAAATTATACTATACAAGCGCACACACTAAAATGCACCATTCAGTTGCATTGTTTCCTGCTACGTACCATCCATCCCATTTCTTGGATTTGCACCTTGTGTATTTAGATTGCAAGCCCTCTGGGCCCACTTTCTGACAGGTCTGTAAGGTGCTTAGCGTGTTGGTGCTATATAAATATTACTGCACACAATCAGCATTCAAAATGAGGGGTGAAGTTAGATGCCTCTGCAAAAACCATAGTGGGCTGCAAGTGAGCTAAGCAAGTGATTTGTGTACGTGAGCTGAATGGTTACCATCTTTCCAAAACAGAAGATTGCGGAGATCCAAGAAGGTGGATGGCAACAGTTTCCAGATTCATCACATGGCAGTTTTTTAGCCAATAATGAGCCAAGAATGGTCCTTGTCAGCATCTTAGGGCCACTTCAGTTGCTCAGTAGGTCATACTGACAACAGCTCCACACCAGTTACTGTAGCACAGAACAATCCTTTTCTACCCCAGCCCAAACCTGTAGCCCCGTGCATTCCAGGAGTGCTACAAGAGTTGATAAACCATTCTATTATCCAGCGGATATGCTCTGAGCAGGAGATCCCATTTATCCCCCCTTTACATCCAAATACCAAAGTCATCGTCCAGGCTCCTAGACAATACCTGAACACTGATAGCTATCTTACAGATCCCCTGGCAGTCTCAAGGATACCAATGTGCCTTACAAGCTAAATAAATATGGATTGCTTCACCCGCCACATAAAAAAAAAAAATGCAGCCTTCCCTGTGATGAGATATAGTAACCATTTAAAAGTGCACAGCCACTCAACACGAATTTAGGGCAGGAGATGTAGAAGGGCCTAAATAAAACTACAGGGGAATCTTAAGGAGTCAATGTTTAGTTATCCGGCTGGAATTTGGTCAAGAGACCAGGGCTGACCATATCCAAAATGCAGTGGAATTTCTGATGGCCACAGGTGCCCAGAACGTCAGTTTTGTCTCTCCTCCAAAAGATGGCATCAATAGCAGCCTAGCATCCCCTGATAGAGGGCTGGGGTGCTGGTTCAGTGCAGATGCAGAGGAAATAGAGGACCACCTACTGAACGACCAACACTACTTCTCGGAGTGTCTGGTATACCCCTGGAGGCTCCCATCCAGGTACTAACCGAAGCCAGCTTACCACACCACAGTTATATTTATAGAGCAGTAGCAATCTGATAAAGCCACAGCCCAAAGCAGCATAGCTGCAGGACACAGACCAAAATTCATTGTTTATAAGCAAGCCTTCTCCAACCCTCCCAAACACTTCTCTGGTTGCATGGGCAAGAGAACCCAGCCCTGCAGTTCTTACTCCTCACCTTCACCCCCCCCCCCCCCCACACACACACACACACACATTTCCTCCAGCATTGCAGGTACATCCCAGTCTGTTCATCTTCATTCCAACAGCGGCCAAAGGGCTCAAATCCACAGGGAATCTACACTAGGAGAAGTGGACCAGTCACTTTAAGAAGCACACTGAGTTTACTGTTCATAAGTGCTCTAGTAAGGATTCACACATACACACACAGAGGCAGTCTCTCTCCTAGGATGGGTAGGGCTCTTTATCTCCTTAGCCAAAGCCAGGTGTTGATGAGACATGCAGAGACTAGCACAGAGTAGACCAGAAGCTCCTTCTGACGCCAGCCAGTACATTGCTCCTCCAGAGTCCACAGCCTCCCAGAGATCTTGTTCAACTGCAGAAAAAGCAGCCAGGTCAGTTACAAGTTATGCAGCAAATGAGGGTGTATATGCCGCTGCCCCTAGCTTCTACCAGCAGGTGTCTCTGTAGGGTTGGCACAACAGCACCCAGTGCGAGGGTGGGAGCTCACAGCTACTCCAGATCTACCTCTCCCAGCAGGAGAGACTGTCCTGGTGTGAGGAGGATCGTCATCTGGACCACACAGACACAGCAGGCAGTTGCTTAAGGAAGCAAAATGTTAGGGTCCAGCAGAGCATCATTTAGTGTCAGTGACTGGAGTCTGCCAGGGTCAAGCACTTTCCCAGTTGCCTTAGGACAGTAAAATCCCTACAGTCAGCTCCGAGTATAGGAGCAATGGTTGCGAGAGGAGCCCACAGATACACTGCCCTTGCGGGCACCCCGATAAGAGGGGAGGCTTGGATCAATGTAAGAATGCTAGCTGTGGAGGAGCCCACTACTGGTACTGGCGGTACCTGCTCTGATTATCCCTTAAGCAGCTTTCACAGAGTCCAGTTGCAAAACATCTCCTCTCTTTCTCACCTGTTTCCTCATTGCTATGATGTCAGTCACGCCAATCTCCTCCAGGGAGCTTTCTGAGGCTGGCCCTGCGTCCTGGGAGCTAGGCAGGAGGAAAACAAAGAGATGCAAATGTGCAAACAGAGATCAAGAGATGCAATCACATCAGCTCATGTATACAGCCAGGAGGAGGTGAGGGAAGGGTTACCCACACAAAAAGCACACCTGTTGGATGGGGAAAATCTGGGGGGGAGGGGAGGGATGAACAAAAAAAAAACCCACCAGATGTTATTGTGGAGATGTAGCATGTCTTTTTAACCACACCACAGCCACTTAAACCCTAACAACATGCAGCCCTCAGTTACCATCATTGCAAAATATACAGCGCATGCTGCAATGGGTAGTGTTATACAGCTGTGTCTATATTGTTAGAATCCCAACATATGGAGCATAGAGAACGTGATATTTACCATTCGGCAGTTTGCCACACACAGAGTCATTAAAACACAAATTAGGGCCAAGGCCTCAGCTGGCATAGCTCCATTGAAATCTATGGAGCCATGCTGATTTACACCAGCAGAAGATCTGCCCCATAATGTATAAAGCTGCTATTTTTTTCCATTAAAAATCGAGTGGTGAGTGTCTGTCCCAGTGCATGAGCCATGGATCTGTTAAAAGAAGGGTTGTCTAGTTACTGTGCATGATCTCCAGCAGGGTCACTTCACTAGGCAAAGGACCTTAGGAGAAATTCTACATGAGGCCTTAAAAAAAAAACAAAAACAAAAAAACAGAACATGAATGGTGGGGGTTTTTTTGTCTGTCTGCTTCTTACATCACCAGTAGCAAAGATCCCACCATCAGCACTAGTGACAGACCTGCCCACGTGCGAGACAGAAAAAGCTCCACCTTGCTCTCCCATAGCCGCATTGATTCTGCAGGGCTGCTGGGAGTAATAGCTTTGTCTCGGGAAAGTCAGCAGATAGGACTCGAGAGGACAGGCTGGGTAAAAGGGAGCTGCCATTTTCAGAGTCAACTTTTCTAACACAGTGCTCCAAACAGATTTCGTTGTAATTGTAAAATACGGGCCAGCCTCAGATGTCATTCCACTGACTTCAATGCTCCCAATTTACACTGTCTGAGAGGCTCTGGCCCAAAATGTGGACTATGTTATCATACATATAAGAAAGATGGGAGATCTCTGTGGATTTGAATTATTTTGCAAAGTTTGCTCTGGGGAAACCACCACAATCCAAGACAGTAAGATGAGGTTTAAGGAAATGGATGCTGATCAATATTATATCTTCATATAACTCTAATACAATGACAAAAGTAAAAATAAATAATTGTGATGCAGCAGTGTTTCTGTCACCAGAGACATAAAATATTAACAACTGAAACAACCCACAATTTTTAATTGAAAAAAAATCATGCCAGGCCTGGGTAGTGCCCATTATGGTCTAGACTGAAAATTATCTTTAATTCTAACCCCCTTTTTCCAGTGATGCAACTTTCAAGAATGTCATCTAGCGGTAGATTTACCAAAGGCTTGTTTCTGGTTATGAACGTTGGAGCAAAATCAGTCGTCATTTTTTACTCTGTGTGAAAATAAACTTTTCATCTATCAGAAATGGCACATTTGGCTAAGAGAAAAAAAAATAGCCAAAACTGTTTCAAACTAAGCTTGTTTTGTAGAGAAAACAGACCTCCAAAAACAAGCCAGGTTTGAAGAACGTTAGTCAAGCAGCTTTAAATGTGTGAATGTCACTTTGTGTCTACACAATATAACTTCCGTTTCCCCTGTCCTTCCTCAAAATCATTTGATTACGGAGGTCCTAGCGTGCTGAGAACACAGATGTGTAAATTCCAGGGGCTGCATAGCTCAGCGTAATAGGATCCTGAAAGGTAATTGAAGGATGACTGAGTTATAGCCACTGGTGTTGGGAGCCTACAAAGCTTATAAACTCTGTAGAGAGGAGAGCTGCTGGATCAGAAACTCACGTCAGAGGCTCAAGATCATGAAATCTGTTGCCAAATAGCTCTGGATTTTGACTCCCTTTACCGCCCCAAACCCATTCAATAAAACCAACTAGGTAGTGTTAATGCAGAACCCGAGCACTCGTGTAACATTAAGGCAATAGCCTGAGTCACGAGAATGTCACAGGAGACAGATAATTTGGGACAGTCAAGGGAATTATTGATGTTAGCAGAGGCAGATGGCCAGAAGAGTTTCAGATAGTCCAGGCTGACTGCACAGCTAGTTTCCCCTCACCCAGTCATCATAGGCTAGCAATTAGGGGTATAAAGCAGCAAAGAGCACGAAAGGCCCCCCAAAGAGAATATTCTGAACGGCTCCTCTCCTGCTGCGCTGCCCCCGAGGGTTAAAAAGCGCATCTCTGCTTCATGCCACGTTGTGTCTTTGAGGAATGTGAAAAGCGACAGCACCTACACACAGTTGTGCAGATGCAGGCCTGAAGCAAGCCAGATAGTCACCTCGGCTGAGCTCGGTCACGGGCAGACTTCTTAACACGGTGGAAGAGTAGGTGACCCAGGAAGTACACCATCTGGAAGATGTTCTGCAGGGAGTAGATCCTGCCATTCTGAAGAAATGGAGGGAATGGGGGGCTGGGCAGTGGGCTTGTGTCTGGCCTGCAGGGCATATACAGAATCACTCCGGTTATTCCCTTCTGGGCTGGGCGGCAGTTCCCCTCCCCCTCCATTTACACTGGTGCACCAGGGTACCCAGGATTGGGTTGTTCTCAGTATCCTTATGATTGCGCCAAGCCTTACAGTGGAACGTAGTTAGCAAGGGTACCATCTCACTTACACCCAGGCATCATGGAATGGATACTTAAATTAGCTAAAACTAACAATCAAGGACTCATGGAAGACAGGTGAGGTCCCAGAGGGCTGGAGAAGGGCAAACATAGTACCTGTCTGGTTTGTTTGTTTGTTTTTTTAAGAGGGGAACAAAGAGGACCCAGGAAATTATAGACCTATCAGCCTAACTTCGATACTTGGAAAGATACTGAACTAAATTATTAATCAGTTTGTAAGCACCTAGAACACAATAGGGTAATAAGTAATGACCAACATGGATCTGTCAAGAACAAATGCCAAACCAACCTAATTTCCTTCTTTGATGGGGTTACTGCCCTAGTGAACTGGGGGGGGGGGGGTGGAGCAGTAGATGGGATAGATCTGGATTTTACAAAGGCTTGGAACAGTCCCACATGACATACTCATAAGTAAACTAGCAAAATGGGGTCTAGGTGAAACAACTATAAAGAGGATGCTCAACTGGTTGAAAGATCATACTCAGAGTAGTTATCAATGGTTTGCTGTCAAACTGGGAGAGGATCGAGTGGGGTCCATCAGGGGGTCTGGCACGATTTAATATTTCATTAATTACTTGGATAATGAAGTGAAGAATGTGCTTATCTGCAGATGTTATAACACTATGTGTGAGGGATTGCAAGCTCTTTGGAGGACAGGATTAGAATTCAAAATGCCCTGGACAAATTGGACAATTGGTCTGAATTCGACAAGATAAAATTCAATAGAGACAAGTGCAAAGTACTTCACTTGTGCATTTTATTTTTTCCTTCCCAACTACAAAATGGGTTATAACTTGCTAGGCAGTAGTACTGCTGAAAAGGATCTAGGGGTGATAGTGAATCACAGACTGACTAGGAGCCAAGAACGTGACGCAGCTGCAAAAAAGGCTTAATACCATGCTCGGGGAGGGCTGGGGGGGTATTAGCAGAAGTATCGTATGAGACCGGCAAAGTCATTATCCCATGCTACTCAGCCCTGAGGCCTCAGCTGGAGTATTGTGTCCAGTTTTAGGCATCACGCTTTCAAAAAGATATGGGAAAACTGGAGAGAGAGAGAGTCCAGAGGAGAGCAACAAAAATGATCAAAGGTTTAGAAAACCTGACCAACTGGGCATGTTTAATTTTGAGACTAGAAGGCTGAGGGGAAATCTGCTAACACTCTTCAAATATGTTAAGGGCTGTTATAAAGAGGACAGTGATCAATTGTTCTCCCTGGTCCACTGAAGATAGGACAAGAAGTAATCAGCACGGGAGATTTAGATTAGATATTAGGAAAAACTTTCTAAGTCTAAGGATAGTTGAGTACTGAAATAGGTAACCAAGGGAGGCTGTGGAACCCCTCCTCATTGGAGGTTTGTAAGAACAGGTGATGGTCTAGGTATACTTGGTCCAGTCTTGGCGCAGGCTATGGCTTAGATTATCTTTTAAGATCTTTGCTTCTATCATTCTATGATAGTTATGCTCAACCAGGATCACCAGCTCAGAGTCAATAGATGACCTATCTGCTTATACTACACTCACTACTGTGGTATTTGACTATTAGCTTCTGTGAATGATGTAATCAGGGACAGCCATCCTTGCATACCATGCCCTGCCAGCCCTTGGCAAAGTCAGTCTTCATAGCATTAGTAAAAGGGAAAGGAGGATTGTGTTTCCAGGAGTCAGCAGGCTCAAGTTCTATCCTTGGCTCTGCTACGGATGTGCTAGTGTAACACTGGGGCAACCTCTCTGTGCCTCAGTAAAACAGAGATGACGCCTAGCTCAGGAAGGTGTTCAGAATCTTAACGTATTGCTGGTGAAGGGCTCCAGCCTTCAAAGATGGACGGTCCAAGAGAAGGCCAGCGTGCTGTTAAAGATCAAGGAGGGAGATCAACATGGCTCTGAGAAACACGGCCTGTCCAGCCTGAGCTGGTCAAGGCTGACCAGGCATCAGCCACACCTTTCAGCAGGATAGTCAGGCCAAGGGCTGACAAGGCCTTGAGCCCTCAGTGAGCCGAGAGCTCCTCGTACGGAGGATCACACACGAGAGGATGGATCATCTGATGCTGGGACAACATTTAATAAGAGCATTTTACTGGAACTTGCCAATATGGGCTTGGTCCCTTCCTTCCATGCCGCTGCCTGTCAATACCCTTAGATCGATGGGGGATCATGCCTTCCATAGCGTGAGAGTTCTGCTGGGCCAATGGGCCTTCTGAACACAATAAGAGAGGCTGAGCATTCAGCCTGGGAATTAACCCCTGGCAGTTCTCACCGGTCAGGCTTCTGGTTCGTGCAACGCAAGGCAATCTGGGGGGTCTCGCTTAGAGTTCTCTCCTTCCGCAGTCTGCCATGGTGGGTCTGTTAGAACGCACACACAAACCAGAGTATTAGTACTGACTGCGAGTCATTCCCCTCATTCAACCCTTCAATGATCCCACAGCATCCCCTATGCTCTGCCATCGTCAGCCAGGGGTAGGAGGCAGCGGAGGGCAACAACCCCAGTAATTCATTAGAACTGCTACAGCTCTATTGCAGCCCCACCATATCTACTGTGAAACTGCAGTGCCAAGTGGGTTTTATCACAGTAAACGAATGTGCTGTCACAGCCACGTGGGCCTGATCCCACTCCAGTAAAGACCCACTGGCATCAATGGGAGTTTTGCCTTGAGTAAGGACCGTGGCAACAATTTCAAATTCATACTCTGCCACTGGGGTAGCACAATAACCTATTTATGCAATAGCCTCCTGGCCTACACAGTAGTTATCTTAGCCCGCTTCTTATACAGTGCGACACATAATATATTATGTCATAATTATACAAGCATTCAGGCCATAAAGGCATTAATGTGACATATTGTGTTTAGATCCCGGAACAGCATATGCCAGAACGCATCTCCACACCAGCCTTGCCCATGATCAGCCTTGCTCCACGAGAATACATAAAAAGGACAGTGTCTCAATGCAAACGTCATATTCGAATGAAACCCCTTATTGAAGCTGAAAGAATTTGTATACAACCTTGTTTGAAGTTTGTTTATTCTCTTGCATTTCATTTGGCTCAGACAGCAAAGCTAGACTGACCTGTTTATGCCTTGGTTTGATCATAGGCTAGCCTCCTGCCATAGCATATGAGGAGACTTAAAATATACAAGGGGGGGCGGGCGGAAACAGATGAGTTTTGCCATTCCATAGGAGCAGGAGAAGGCCCAGTGAGCCAACCTTTCTTGGAAATATTTCCACTACCATCAGGTTTTATGGAACAACCTTGAACTTGAGCCTGAAGTGCATATGTGACCATCCCACGCAGTGTCATCCCTTCCCAGCAGCAGCATTCCCTTATCACCCACAGTAGAGCTACATGAAATTTGGTAGCTTCCTTTCACAGCTGGCTGTGGAAGCATTTCCCTTGGTTTCAGTTCACAGCCAGGACCTGACTGGAGCCAGAAAAGTTGGAGCTGGCATTTAGATTAATGAGTGAGCTCTGAAGAGAAAGAAATTAAGCTCTACATATCTTAGCACTCCTGTAATGCTCCAGGGGGTGAAGGTGCCTTAGAGAAGGCCTGGTTGGAATGTCTGGATGACTAAAGATGCAAGTTTCTACCTGTAATCGTTGGAGAACGAAAGACAGCTTCTTTCTTCTAGATTAGTTTTGCATTAGAGTAAAAATTTGTCTCTGGATTATTGAACACTGTTTTGACCCCAAGTACTGATAAAACTAAACTTCTTTTCCTGTTTGACACAGTAGAAGGGCTGAAAAGGGATCCCACCACCCAGCTGGCCTATATTTGGGACACACCTAGTGCTTAATTTGTGCCAGGGCTGAGCCCCAGCACCACTAGGTTTGGCAGTTCATAGCTCTGGCACCTCTGGGCTTGCTGCATCCATTAGGACTGTAAAAAAAAAAAAAAAAATTGCTTGAGCCCTGGCACCTCTTTCATTACAAATTAAGCACTGGACACACCACATGAAACAAAGTGGCACCAGAACACATTCTGCCCAGAGGAGATAACAGCAGTGGACATTAGTGGTGGGGCAAAAATTAATTCAGAGAGAACCCCTCCAAAGATCTCTTGTTCTGGACAGAACCAGAGTTCACAGGGGTAGACTGCGACATGAGTCATCCTATCGAGCTATTCTGCAGAGGTGGGAGCTCTCCTTTTACACATTGTCTGTCTTGTCACTTAAATCAGGACTTCGTCACAGGTACGGGGCACTATCAGGTGGGCTATGGGATGCAGAAGGAAGACGACACTGGGGACAATTTCACTATCCCAGGAATTTTTCCTCTGGGAGACTGCCTTGTTACACGTGCCCAAGTCTGTTCCAGATACAGTACCGATCGCTTGCGTTTCTGGGTGCCTGACTGGGTCGTGGTGTCCAGAAACAGGAGCTCCCCAAATCCTGTAGGCTGGGTGGAAGGGTCCTGAGGCATATGCACAATAGAGGGGTACTGCCTTAGCTGGTCCAACAGGAGAGGCCTTCGACTATCATCCATCATCTCTACAGAGAGGAAAGAGCGGGCAGTTAGAAACATTTGCCTATGTCCCAGAACATAACAGCATCGTGTTCAGACTGGGGGCTGGGGGTGGAAGTGATGTCGAAATCCCTGTGTTTCTATGGCTACCAATACAATACCCCTCCAGAAAAACAAAAACACACAAAAAAACCCAAAACCAAAACCACCCACACCCCTGCAGCTTTGACAGTCATTGTCTGCAGTCTTTATCCGGTGCCTGTTCCAGGTTTTTCCATAGAAATCCATTTCAGGATTTCCTCCCCACCTCCCTCCCTCCAGCAATCACTGGAGCACTCTTCCCCTTAGCTGAAAGTGGGGCAGGCTTCAAACTACTCACCCACAGGCACATGGAAATCCCATGCCGGAATTCTTACACCCACATGGACCGGAAACTGAATGGAGAATGATGACAAAACTCCTCTAAGACATTCACTGCTTCAGGCAGAGTCTAACCGTGCCCCTATTTAGCCTCTAAGGCCTATGAAAACAAGTAGAGCCATCTGGCACTGACGGCAGCAGTTGGCTACTAGTCAGCATGTTCAATCTCCCCAAAAGCCGGGCTCCAGAGAAGTAATCAGAGTTTTACCTCCAAGTCTCTAAAAAAAAAAAAAAAGCATTCCTTGGACACACACCACCAGCTGTGCTGAGGATAAGCCAGCCTTACTCTCAAGGCACAGAGAAGAGGCTAGTACACTGCAGTTTGGGCGTTGGTGTTCAAAGAGTAGGGGCCCTGAGTCCTTGTTTACCTGGCATCCCAAGGAGGAGACTCTACCAAGGGGGGGGGGGAGAGATCTGGATAATGCAGATTGTAGCTCCACCTCCCCCAAGCAGGGACTCCAAGATATTAGCCAGCTTGAGTGGCACCAAGAGGATCTTAGATCTTTCCCTCCTCCACCCTATCCCTCTCTGATGAGCGCACGCACACTCATTAACCTTGGCTGAACAACACCCACCTCAAGCCCTCTGCCCCTGAGGCTGCACAATCAGAGCAATTCTGGATCCTAAACGCTGTTGCTCCCACATCTGCAAGCCTGCCTGTCACCAGCTCCACAAGCACTGCCAGAACCAGCCTCACCGTGGCCCGGCTTTAACCCTCACTCATATCTCTGGCACTTCCTCTTGGCTAATTTAGTCTCTCTTGGCTCCTTGCTGTCTAAGGCCCAGAATGCAGCAGCAGGACTGCTCTGCTGCCCCAGAAAGCTGCATTACTCCCGCCTCCATCACCATCTCTGGCTTCATACCCACTTCCAGACCTAAATCCACAATTTCCCACATGGCTTTCAAAGCTCTCCATAGACTCACGCTGCTCCAGCTACACCGCCATACTGCACAGCTACCTTCTCCTGCCTCTTCACTCTGCATCTTCTCTCCACGCTTGGAAAGTGTAACCTCTCCTCCCTCATCTCTCTGGAGCCCATTCCCTCCCTGCCATTGGGCGCTTTGGCACCTTTACTAGGGTGTGATGATCATCACTTCCCACTCGCTTTCCCCATCATTCTAATACTCCTCCCCACACCTCCCTCATGCTACAGGAAGACACAGATCTTTTGCCTCTTCGCCACTCCAGCCCCTGCTTTTCCCCCTTCTCGCCTCTCACACGGCAGCCGCCGATGCAATTCTCCCAAACAAACCCTCGGTCCCCACTCTCAGTGCAAAGTGTGTTGGGATCGGCCAATGGGGGATACTACACAGAGTCCATTGCATTTGATGCTCTGTGCTAATCCATGTCCAGTCAGAGCCGTCCCATTTCATCACCTGCCAGCGACAGCCTATCAGGGATGTGCATCCGGAAGGAAGGATGAAGCTCCTCAGCTTCTCTCTCCTTTCCCAGTGGGTTGGACTCATGCACCACCTGCAGCCTGCTGGGCACCTGCATGCGCTGATTGATGGCCTCCATGAAGCTCACGTCGCATGGGGCTCGGTTCACCTCTAGGCCCCGAAACGGCCACATCATCATTTTATTCCCAGCCTTACTTTGGCAGCCTGTGAGGTCACACAATAAAAAAAAGCCAACACAGCACTGAAAGAAAGTTATCAACACCAAACCCTCTCACATCCTGCCATGGTGGGCACAATTTAAGATGCAAACGTAATAATAATCCCTAACTCTCATACAGGGCCTTTCATGGGCAGACCTCAAAGTATTTTACAAGGGCGCCCATCTGTGAAATGGGGGGTGATACTGGGGAAACTGAGGCACAGAGCAGTGCAGTGAGTTGCCCAAGGTCACCCAGCAGGCCAATGGCAGAGGTAATCAATAGAAAAAACCAGACACTGTTTTAAAAACCAAACAATGGCACACCCTAAGAATTAGCTGGTGGGAGGAGACAAAAAGATTCTGATAATGATTAAAAATGGAAAATTCCTGTCGGAGAGGAAAACCATGTTCATACTCACATTTCTCCATATGCAAAGAGCATTCCTTACTGCTGAAAGTAGATGGCAATGAGCAAGAAAGTAGTAAATTGTCCATAGGAAAGAGCACAGTATACATGGTACAGCCAGGCAAAATTTTTCCACCAAAAAGGTTTTGTTTGTATTTTTGAGGGAAAACTGGGTTTTCAATTCAACTCAGAATTTTATTTTATTTTTTTCATATGAAAAGAGTGTTCTGGCCACACAAAATTTCAAGTCTTTGTCAAAAACCAGAGAAACAATTTATTTTCTTTCAGGGAAAAAGCTGAAATTTTCCTCTGGGAAATTTCAACAAAAATTAATTCCCCGCTGCCATTTTCAGAGCAATTTTCTGCAAGAAAAAGGCTTGTTTTCTGAGCAGCCCTAGTGTGCCTTTAAGAAGAAAATGGTCAGAGTCTCAGAGAATCATAGAAGATTAGGGTTGGAAGGGACCTCAGGAGGTCATCTAGTCCAACCCCCTGCTCCAGGCAGCACCAACCCCAACTGAATCATATCAGCCAGGGCTTTGTCAAGCCAGGACTTGAAAACCTCCAAGGATGGAGATACCACCTCCCTAGGTAATCCATCCCAGTACTTCACCACCCTCTTAGTGAAGCAGTTCCCCTTGAGTATCCAACCTTGACCTCCCCCACTGCAACTTGAGACCATTGCTCCTTGTTCTGTCATCTGCTACCGCTGAGGACAGCTGAGCACCATCCTCTTTGGAACCCCCCTTCAGGTAGTTGAAGGCTGCTATCAAATCCCCCCCTCACTTTTCTCTGCAGACTAAATAACCCCAGTTCCCTCAGCCTCTCCTCATAAATCAAGAGGGGCTTTTCAAAACTTAAAGTTTCAGTACACAGCAAACATAGCCTTGGTCTACACTAGGAGTTGAGGTTGAATTTAGCAGCGTTAAAATCGATTTAACCCTGCACCCGTCCACATGACGAAGCCCTTTTTTTCGACTTAAAGGGCTCTTAAAAATCAATTTCTTTACTCCACCCCCGAAGGGGATTAGCGCTGAAATCAGCCTTGCCGGGGTTGAATTTGGGGTACTGTGGACACAATTAGACTGTATTGGCCTCCGGGAGCTATCCCAGAGTGCTCCATTGTGACCGCTCTGGACAGCGCTCTCAACTCAGATGCACTGGCCAGGTAGACAGGAAGAGGCCCGCGAATTTTGAATTTCAATTTCCTGTTTGGCCAGCGTGGCAAGCTGCAGGTGACCATGCAGAGCTCATCAGCAACAGTGACCATGATGGAGTCCCAGAATCGCAAAAGAGCTCCAGCATGGACCGAACGGGAGGTACGGGATCTGATCGCTGTATGGGGAAAGGAATCCGTGCTATCAGAACTATGTTCATTTTCGAAATGCCAAAACATTTGTCAAAATCTCCAGGGGATGAAGGACAGAGGCCACAACAGGGACTGGAAGCAGTGCCGTGGGAAACTTAAAGAGCTGAGGCAAGCCTACCAGAAAACCAGAGAGCCAAACGGCCGCTCCAGGTCAGAGCCCAAAACATACCGCTTCTATGATGAGCTGCTTGCCATTTTAGGAGGTTCAGCCACCATTACCCCAGCCGTGTTGTTTGACTCCTTCAATAGAGATGGAGGCAACACGGAAGCAGGTTTTGGGGACGAGGAAGAGGATGATGATGAGGAGGAGGTTGTAGATAGCTCACAGCAAGCAAGCAGAGAAACCGGTTTTCCTGACAGCCAGAAACTGTTTCTCACCCTGGACCTGGAGCCAGTACCCCCGAAACCCACCCAAGGCTGCCTCCCGGACCCGCCAGGTGGAGAAGGGACCTCTGGTGAATGTACCTTTTAAAATACTATACATGGTTTAAAAGCAAGCATGTTTAAGGATTAATTTGCCCTGGCATTCGCGGCTTTCCTGGATGTACTCCCAAAGCCTTTGCAAAAGGTTTCTGGGGAGGGAAGCCTTATTCCATCCACCATGGTAGGACACTTTACCACTCCAAGCCAGTAGCACGTACTCGGGAATCATCGTAGAACAAAGCATTGCAGTGTATGTTTGCTGGCGTTCAAACAACATCCGTTCTTTATCTCGCTGTGTTATCCTCAGGAGAGTGAGATATCATTCATGGTCACCTGAATGAAATAGGGTGCTTTTCTTCAGGGGACACTCAGAGGAGCTGGTTCCTGCTGGGCTGTTTGCCTGTGGCTGAACAGAAACGTTCCCCGCTGTTAGCCACGGGGAGGGAGGAGGGGCTAGCCACGTGGTGGGGGGAGGCAAAATGCGACCTTGGAACGAAAGCACATGTGCTGTGTATGTAATGTTAACAGCAAGGTTTACCGTGAAAGAGTGTACCCATTGTTCTATAAAATGTGTCTTTTTAAATACCACTGTCCCTTTTTTTTCCCCCTTCCACCAGCTGCATGTGTTTCAAGGATCACAGAATCTTCTCCTTCCCAGAGGCTAACGAAGATTAGGAGGCGAAAAAAACCGCACTCGCGATGAAATGTTCTGAGCTCATGCAGTCCTCCCACACTGACAGAGCACAGACGAATGTGTGGAGGCAGACAATGTCAGAGTGCAGGAAAACACAAAACGACCGGGAGGAGAGGTGGCGGGCTGAAGAGAGGGCTGAAGCTGAAGGCAGCGTGATGAGAGGAGGCAGGATTCAATGCTGAGGCTGCTGGAGGATCAAACTCATATGCTCCAGCATATGGTTGAGCTGCAGGAAAGGCAGCAGGAGCATAGACTGCTGCTACAGCACCTGTGTAACCAATCACCCTCCTCGAAGTTCCATAGCCTCCTCACCCAGACGCCCAAGAACACGGGGGGCGGGGGGGGGCCCTCCTGGCCCCCCAGCCACTCTGCCCCAGAGGATTGCCCAAGCAACAGAAGGCTGGCATTCAATAAGTTTTAAAGTGCTGTGTGGCCTTGTCCTTCCCTCCTCCACCACCCCTCCTGGTGCTTCTCTCTTCCACCACCCCTCCTGGGCTACCTTGGCAGTTATCCCCCTATATGTGTGATGAATTAATAAAGAATGCATGAATGTGAAGCAACAATGACTTTATTGCCTCTGCAAGCGGTGATCGAAGGGAGGAGGGGAGGGTGGTTAGCTTACAGGGAAGTAGAGTGAACCAAGGGGAGGGGGGTTTCCATGAAGGAGAAACAAACAGAACTTTCACACTGTAGCCTGGCCAGTCATGAAACTGGTTTTCAAAGCTTCTCTGATGCTCACCGCGCCCTCCTGTGCTCTTCTAACCGCCCTGGTGTCTGCCTGCGCGTAACCAGCAGCCAGGCGATTTGCCTCAACCTCCCACCCCGCCATAAATGTCTCCCCCTTACTCTCACAGATATTGTGGAGCGCACAGCAAGCAGTAATAACAGTGGGAATATTGGTTTCGCTGAGGTCTAACTGCATCAGTAAACTCCGCCAGCGTGCTTTTAAATGCACATTCTACCACCATTCTGCACTTGCTCAGCCTGTAGTTGAACAGCTCCTGACTACCGTCCAGGCTGCCTGTGTATGGCTTCATGAGCCATGGCCTTAAGGGGTAGGCTGGGTCCCCAAGGATAACTATAGGCATTTCAACATCCCCAACGGTTATTTTCTGGTCTGGGAATAAAGTCCCTTCCTGCAGCTTTTGAAGCAGACCAGAGTTCCTGAAGATGTGAGCGTCATGTACCTTTCCCGGCCATCCCACGTTGATGTTAGTGAAACGTCCCTTGTGATCCACCAGTGCTTGCAGCACTATTGAAAAGTACCCCTTAGGGTTTGTGTACTCACCGGCTTGGTGCTCCCGTGCCAAGATAGGGTTATGGGTTCCATCTATGGCCCCACCACAGTTAGGGAATCCCATTGCAACAAAGCCATCCACTAGGACCTGCACATTTCCCAGGGTCACTACCCTTGATATCAGCAGATCTTTGATTGCATTGGTTACTTGCATTACAGCAGTCCCCACAGTAGATTTGCCCACTCCAAATTGATTCCCGACTGACCGGTAGCTGTCTGGCGTTGCAAGCTTCCACAGGGCTATCGCCACTCGCTTCTCAACTGTGAGGGCTGCTCTCATCTTGGTATTCATGTGCCTCAGGGCAGGTGAAAGCAAGTCACAAAGTTCCACGAAAGTGCCCTTACGCATGTGAAAGTTTCACAGCCACTGGGAATTGTCCCAGACCTGCAACAATATGCGGTCCCACCAGTCTGTGCTTGTTTCCCCGAGCCCAGAATCGGCGATCCACCACATGAACCATTAGCACCATGATGCCCACATTGCCAGGGCCCCTGCTTTGAGAGAAGTCTGTGTCCATGTCCTCATCACTCTCATCACAGTGCTGACGTTGCCTACTCGCCTGGTTTTGCTTTTCCAGGTTCTGGTGCTGCATATACTGCTGGATAATTCGGGTGGTGTTTAATGTGCTCCTAATTGCCAAAGTGATCTGAGTGGGCTCCATGCTTGCCGTGGTATGGCGTCTGCACAGAAAAAAGGCGCGGAACGATTGTCTGCTGTTGCCCTGACGGAGGGAGGGGCGACTGACAACATGGCTTACAGGAAATTAAAATCAACAAAGGGGGTGGCTTTGCGAGAAACAGAATGGCCCCCTCAAGGAT